AAACTGCAGAGAACTCTGCAAAAAACGCATCTTCGCACGGGCAGCCCGTGCGTTGGCCAATTTTTTGGTAATATGCTCATTTGATACGTAGGCTATGTAAAAATGAAGCTGCGAGTTATTTGTCATCAGTATTTTACAGATTTGTTAAAAAAATACAAACACAAACGTAGCTGCTGACTATCGCTGACGCGAAAGAAGGTTTTGAATTAAAATTTGAATGATGGGGCCAAATTGGTGGCTCAAGTTGATTTTGCTACTGCAAGCAGTTCGCATCGTGAATTCATGTGCTGATGTTGTATTTGTCCTGGATGGTTCCGCAAGTGTTAAGGAGCACTTTCAGGTTTGACTTTTTTCAGCAGTCCACCTTTTTTTGTGCATTTCTTCCGCCAATGTTCGAACGCTTTTTGTCGTGCCACAACGTTTTGATAACTATGATTTCATCAAAGAAATGTGCTGGATATATTTTGATTACAATTTTTTTTTAATAAAAAAAACAATTTTTTAATAAAAATTCTCCCACCTCCTTCCTTCACCCCTCCCGCCGATGCGCTTAGTTTCAGTAAAGCGGTAAAGGTAGTTAAAGCTGTTCTCATTTTGTGTTTGTACTTAGAATAGCAGAACTCTCAGGTGATTTTTGTTAGCTGGCAAATGGAAAGCTGCATATAGCAGCATATTTTTGAAGACTGAGTAAATTTGCCTATAAATTTCACTGTTCTTAATTAGCTGCCTTTGTTGCTACAAAGATATCGAACGCAGCTAAAATGTTTCGGGTATCGTGCCCAAGGTGACTTGCTGCTGCAACTCCTGGATATTTGACTGCTAAACAGTCTGATACTTGTTCCTACTTTCCAAATTTTGTCGAGCAGATTTCTTTTTTTAGTGTCGCTTGCAGCCAGAATTGCACTGTGAGCACGGCGACGTTTTTTAAAACGACCTTTAAACTTGGTATTACGTCTGAATCAGAATATGACCTTATAGCAGCAGTACTGATATTTATGTATATTTCTTATCTGTGGATCTTGGATGCATGAAATGCACAGATTTTTGTGATTAAAAATTTAAAAAATTTTTTTAGCAAATGATTGATGTGGCCAGTGAACTAGCAATGCAGTTTGATGTGGAGAACAAGGGGTATCAAATTGCTATCCTGGAATATAGCGGGAAAGCGATTCTCCCCAAATGGTTGGATTATCACTTCGGCAGCATCCGGGTAGATGTCATTAATCCATTTCAGTTTTACTTTATAGTTGTGCATCTAAGTAACACAGAAAACTCTACATGATTTGAGCTTCTTCAGCTCCCTGCTCAGTTTATGAGGAAACGTGTCACAAACACCCTCGTTACAATATCGCTATTTTATTATTTATAAAGTTTAAATCCAGACGAATGAAGCCCTGAAGACTGTGATCAAAAATCTGCCACACATGCGTGGCGCAGCTGATACTGGACGAGCGCTGGGTATCGTACTGCATGAGTATTTACGCAGTCGCCGGCCCGGCTTACCTTTCATCGTATTCACCATCACGGATGGCTACTACAGGTGGCTTACATTGTTGCTTTCGTCAATTTCAAATGAAATGTT